AAGGATCATGGTCAGTAGCGCTGGCACGAGCGCCGCTGCCGTGTGCTCGACAACGCGCGGTAGCTTGGCGAGAAAGAGCAATGGCGTGAGCATCCCGCTGAGGCCAATGCACATCGCGTACGCCAGTGTCAGCGCCGACGACGTCGACTGTTTCGAGATCGCAACAACTTCCAACGACTGCAATGCCAGCGACAAGGTGCGCTGGACTTCGTAGCCCCACGCAAAGAGCTCGCCTTGGCTGCTAAAGTGGGCCGCGTACGTTGTCCAGAGCTCGCCGAGGCGGTGAAAGCAAAGGCTCATCGAGAGAGCGCCAGTGTCTGCCCGGCGCTTGCTCGAGTCGCGCACCAGCACGAGGCGCTCAATGCGCTTCTCGAGTTGCCGGTAGCGCATCATGGACACGAGACCTTCGCAAAAAAGCGCGCCGACGAGGATGCAGGCGACCATCGAGGCCGTGAGGTCGGGCGGGAGGCCTAATGTCCGCCGCTCGTAGCTGTAGAGGTCCAACGTGATGTAGTGGTGGCAGTACGCGAGGGAAAAGAGGTGCGTCGCAAACAGTGCGTGCAGCAACGCGACGAGAAGCCACAGCGAGAAAACGCTTGTGCGGACAATCGGTGCTCGGTCGCCCGCCACGTCTTGACCTTCTCAAAGCGCACCGAGAAGACTCGTGCGACGAGTGGCCGCAGCGCGCGCATCACGTAGTGATGGTCTCTGACTTGAAGTCTTTCTAAAAGGACGGACCTGATCTCTAAATCCAGTCGACCGTTTCGCAGCCGAATGGTTGGTGCCTCGTCTCATGTGTGGCTGGGCCGTGTCCGTTGATACATCGATAGCTGCTCAATCGTGGTTCTCGATGCTGCCGATGCTCGTGTCCCGCAACGTCAGTGTACTATGAAAGACACTTTGTGTGCACATGAGAAAAGAAGAGATAGTTGGCCGCCAAAAAGTGTTGCTACAGTATCTACTTTACAACACCAGCATGCCGATTGACGCGATGGCCATCGAGACGACGCCCGTCAGCGCGGCACCCGCCGTGGCCGACTTGGCGGTCGCGGCCGGCGACGTGGTCGCAATGATCGGCTTGATGGTGCTGGTCGCGTTATCCGTCTTGTCAGCCGACGTGGCTTTGGGCGCGGGCGTCACAGTCGCTAGCTGCGACGGCGCCTTGGTCACCACTGTCGACGTGCCCGAGACCGTGAGGTTGGCGTAGCACGGCTTCATGGTGCCGTTGGCGTAGAAGAGGCCAAAGTGCTGCTCGACGTTGTCAGTGTCCGTCTCGTTCGCATTGAACGCCATGTCGAACGACGTATAATAGTAGTAGTTCCAGTCCATTTGCTTGGCCAAGAGCGAAAAGTCGTTGAAGTATTTCTAGTCACCCATCTCAGACCAGATTGTAGATGTAGAGAGTGCGTACCGCGGCTTGCGCCGGC